CCCTGGTGCCTTATTTAGTTCATTTGGTGAGGTCATGTTTTCCTGGATGGTGCTGATTATTGTAGATGTTCCTCGGTGTCTGGGCATTGAAGAGATAGGTATTTATTGTAGTCCTCACAGTCTGGGCTTATTTGTGCCTTTCCTTCTTGGGAAGGCTTTCTACATGTTCAAAGAGACTTGGGCCCCAAGCCCAATAATAGTGTGTTTTTTGCAGATTTGTAGAGGTATACCTACCACCTTGGAGGTCTTAAAAAAGATCTGTGAGAATTCTCTCGAATACCATACAAAGACTCTTGTTCTTTTCCCTTACTTTCTCACCAGCAAACAGAGGGTATCTGTCTCTCTCTCTCTCTTCTCTCTCTCTCTCTCCTAAAGCTTGCCAATAAAAACTTCTGACTGCTGGAATGGGTGATTCCCCCCTGGCTAAGGCTGATCCAAATGCTCTCTCCATGCAAAGGCAATGGCTGAGGTCAGCTGGCTTTATTCTTCACTGTGATAGGGCAGTACTGAGTTTAGTGTAAAGCTCCCCAGTTGCTGTACCTTCTTTCTCAAACTGCACATATTCTCTCTGTTTTCCACACAATTGCTGGTAGGGGATGGAGGGGTAACATCAGCAATTCAAGACTGTCTCTGGCCTACTCAGTGCCTCTTCTGGTGATAGGAACTTAAAAACTAGGTACTGTGATTGCTCATCTGATTTTTGGTTCTTGTGATGGTGTTTTTCTCTGTGCAGACTGTTGTTAAAATTTGGTGCTCCATTGGGGGTTGGAGGTGATGAACGGTGTAGGCTTCTATTTTTTGTGTCACAGTTGTTTTTGTTTACCTGTTCCTTTCCTGCTTTCTTTTGTGATATTTTTTAGTATGCCTTTTGCGATGTTTTAAAATTTCTCTGTTTTTTTCTTTTTTCACATTTTTGGAGTTATCATCTTAGTAACTCAGCAACTGCTCTAGTGCTTATGTGTCTTAGTTTATCACAATCTACATCACAGTACTTAATTTCAGTAAAATAGAAACTATACTTCAATATATGTCCTTTTCCTCACTCCTCCTTTGTGCTATTATCATATATATTTCACATACATGCTTTCAATCCAACAAAACAATGTTGAAAACTCTTTTATATTTACCACATTATTTACTATTCCCAGCACTCTTCAATTCTTCCTAGAGATGCAATTTAATAACCAGTGTTACTTCCTTTCAGCCTAAAGAGTTGCTTTATTATTTCTTATAAGACAGACAGGGAGAAAAGCTCCCAAGTTTTATCTGGGAATGTCCTTTTTTTTGCCTTCAGTTTGGAAGACTAGTTTTGCTGGAAATAGAATACTTGGTTGACAGTTTTGGTTCATTTTTTTCTTTCAGCACTTTGAATGCATCAGGTATTATGGTTCTTATCACTTCTGATTTTAAAGTTAGCGGTTAAAGTTATTAGTGGTTCCCTATGTGTGATGACTAATTTTCTTCTTCTTATGGCTCTCTTTGTGTTTTCCTAGTTGTGATTAGTTGAGCTTCATCAATCTGTAAATTGTTTTTCACCAAATTTGGAAAGTTCTCTGTCAGTATTTAATTCTTTTTCTTTTTCTTTAAAGAATTTCTTTAATTCTGCTGTCTCTTCTCTCCTATGAGGCTTTTTCAACTTTAATCTTTTTTTCCTCTCTGTTCTTCAGGATACATAAATTCTGTTGACTTATTGTCAAATTCATTGATTCTTCTGCCATTGCAAATCCGCAGTCAAGCCAATCTAACATATTTTTATATTTAGTTTTGCCCTTTTTAACTCTAGAATTTTGCTTCCTCCTTTTTTAGAATGACTCTTTGTGAAAACTCTTTATTCGTTGAGTCCTTGTAGTCCTACTTTCCCTTTAATTCTTTAATCATGGTTTTCTTTATTTCTTCGAACATATTTACAATAGCTGCTTTGATGTCTTTGTCTGCTAAATACATCATAAAGATACATACAGTTTCTAATGACTGCGTTATTTTCCTGAGTATGTACCATACTTTTTTGTTTCTTTGTATATCTCAAAACTTTTTGCTAAATGCTGGATATTTTAGATAATGTTTTATAGCAACTCCAGATTCTGATTTTCTCACCTGAGAGTTGTTGTCTATTTGTTATTTCTTAACAGTCTACAAGTCTGTTTCCCCTGCAATGTGTGACTGCTTATGTCACTATTATTTTTTGCCTGACTTCTTAAGACCTTTTAAAGCATGTCTCCTGTGTTCACCATAGTGTTTGGCCAAAGACTGATTGTGCATTTTATTCATACATCTCAACCCAATAAGGCTTCTACTTCCTACTGATAGAATTTGTCTGTGGGCAGAGGACAGCATTTGAAGTTCAGGTTTTTTACATGTCTCCCCTGGTTTTATTTCCAGTAGCCCACTTGAATTTCCTCTGCACGTATTCTTAAGCTCTACTGGCCAGAAACATGTCAGCGGCTTGGGCCCACTCTACTCCCTGCTGTGCATGTCCACAGCCTCCAGTCAACCTGGGATGTGTGGGGAATTTATCAAGCTCTCACTACTGTCTTACCGCTCAAGAAGTCTCTGCTAAACTCAACTAGTCAATGAGTCTACTGTTGGCCCCAAAGTGGACTACAATCTCAGACTAATAAAGTTGTTGGCCCTTTTTGTTTATTTGCCACAAAGATCACTATTTTAACCTACAGTGCTCTGCATCAACTGATTTCTCTGCAACAATGGAAGCAAAGCTGTTGATTTTCATCCTGATTGAAATGCTATGCAACAGAGCTGGGGACAAAGAAAAGGGAAAACGGAGTAGCACCAGATCATGAATTTGTGCTCTTCTTACCCTATTTCATTAGTTTTCATGAATAAAACTTCTCAGTTTGTTAGGTAAGGTACTCAAACAGTTGTTTTTTTGTTTGTTTATTTTTGAGATGGAGTCTCGCCTTGTCCCCAGGCTGTAATGCATTGGCACGATCTCAGCTCACTGCAACCTCGGTCTCCCAGATTCAAGCAATTCCCCTGCCTCAGCCTCCTGAATAGCTGGGAATAAAGGCACGTGCCTCCAAGCCCAGCTAATTTTTCGTATTTCAGTAGAGATGGGGTTTCACCATGTTAGCCAGGACGGTTCAATCTCCTGACCTTATAATCTGCTGGCCTCAGCCTCCCACAGTGTTGGGATTACAGGCATGAGCCACTGCGCCCAGCCTCAAACAGTTGTTTTGACAGTTTTGTCCAGCTCTATTCCTTTTTAATAATGTATGTCACTATTCCTTTTTAATAGTGTATGTCATATATTCCTGTAATCCAGTTATAGTTTAATTATAAATCCAACAAAACAGTGTTAAAAACTCATATTTACTATTCCCAGCACTCTTCAATTCTTCCTAAGGATTCAAATTAATATCTGGCATTACTTACTTTCAGCCTAAAGATGAGTAAATCTTGGTGATAACTCTAAAATTGTATTTAACTCTGAGATAAAAGTACAAGTTCACTTTTTTGTCATTCATATGCTATACATACATATGTAGTTATTGTATGCTAGAGATATTATACTCAGCTTCATTTGTTTTTTGTTGCTGCTGGAGAAAACTGATTTTTTTGCATACATGTATGGTAGACAGAAGGAGCTAAGTAGTTCTCTACATCCATGCTATAAAGAAGCTGCTCAAAATGTAACACAATCATAAGTAAAATCATGCTAATAAACTATATCTATGCAGTCCAGACACCACAGTATATGAAGGACAGTGATAACGTATAGTATATAAAAATTATACAAAGAGGCCCGGAAACTGGTATATGAGAAAAATTTTGAGACAAATATTGATGTTTACGCTGGAGGAAAAAAAAAAGTGACTTACTGCTAGCCTTTAAAATACTGGGACTTACTCAATATTGATCCAGGGGGCAACGTGAAAACTAAGTTATCTAATTCTAAGTTCCATACATAAGAGAAGATATTTAACAACTTAAAACAATTTAATTGGTTCTTTTGTAAAATAATAAGTTTCCCTCACTAAGAATGATCATGGCTTGGTGTGGTGGCTCACGCCTGTAATCCCAGCACTTTGGGAGGCCGAGGTAGGCAGATCACTTGAGGTCAGGAATTCGAAACTAGCCTGGCCAATATGGTGAAACCCCATCTCTACTAAAAATACAAAAATAAGCTGGGCGTGGTGGCAAACATCTGTAATCCCAGCTACTCAGGAGGCTGAGGCAGGAGAATTGCTTGAACCTGGGAGTGGAAGCTGCAGTGGGCCAAGATTGTGCCACTGTATTCCAGCCTAGGCAACAGAGTGAGACTCCGTCTCAAAAACAACAACAACAAAAAAGAATAACAGAGATTGGATGACCACCTTTTTATGGAGCATTTATTTAGAAGATAGACTAGATGACCTTTCAACTCTAAATTTCTGTAATTTATAAATACAAATAAAAAAGAATTTAGATTGATAAAGTATCAGGAACAAGAATACAAAATATACATATAGATATGACACTTCAGGTTATTAATAAATAAGTAAATCGGTCATAGAAACCACATTTCTAAGAAACATGGATTCCACTCTATTGTTGGGTTCCAAAGGGTGACAATATGCTGGATATCATTTAAAAAGCTATTAGAAACAGGAAACACTATCCTACCATGGTACAAAACTATAATCTATAGCTCTGGTTGCTACAACTTAACAAGGATGCTGAAGAGAGAACAAAAGATAACTAAAATGAACAAGACATAGAGAGTATTACATAAACTCAGGCTTCATTCTGGAAAGGCTAAAACTGACTGAGTGCATAACAATTATTTATAAAAGGCAAAATACCCAAATAAGGTAAATTCGGACTTGTTCCCTAAAATGTAGAATGCAACCTACCTATCTAGAATTTGTCTTAACCTTACTAAAAGAGGTAAGGTTAGGACAAATTTTTAAAGTATCATTACATTCAGGAAATACTAAGGTAATCTAACCTACTAATCTACTAGGACCAAAACAGGTTACCAACTGAAAACAGAAATAACTTACCTCTTTTAGTTGATCAGCACTCCCCCATGATGCAGAACGCTGATGTGACCTCTTTTCTGCACCCTCTTCTGTCCAACAGCTAGGTGTCTTTAAAAAAATATATATATATAAAAAATAAGAAATTTTCTCTCTGCCTCCTAATCTCAAGCAACTGAAACATATTTCAAATTCTTAGCACATACCAGTTAGAGAGCTATACTAAAATCCTTTAAATGCTAAGAGTTTCATGATCCCGTGAAATGTTTAAAATACTCTGCCATATTCTGAATTACACATGCTCAAAGATGTCTCTGACTCATTTAAAACATTTGATATCTTCACATCAATAACATTAAAAACTTATTTATAAAATTCAAAGGGAATTGTAAAGATTTGTATATTGGTCTTTCTAGAGAATAGCTGAACTAAATTCAATCAACAGAGGTAAAATGAATAGAAGTATCTCAAAAGCAGCAGTATTAAAAAATGACCTATATTTCAAATATTTAGCAGGAGGACTGACTGTACTACTTTTCCTGTACTTGGGGAAAAGTATTAGTATCCTTTTTGAAAAATATCAGGCATCTTGTATAAAAAACATCAAGTTATTATAAAAGTGAAAAAGATTAAAAATAGTAAATATAAGCTAAATAAACTGAAGTAACACATCTTTTAAAAAATCTGAACCAATATGTCGGAAAAGAGAATCATCTTTATCTAAAATATCATTTTCAGTTATTTGGCCATGAATAGACACTATCCTCAAATTTAACACAAACCACCAAATCCCAAATAATGTAATACAGTGGTAAGACCATTTAATAGTTGTATTTAAAAAATTAAAACAGAGGATCCAAGATGGCCGTTTAGGAACAGCTCAGCATTGCAGCTCCCAGTGAAAGTGCAGTGGGTGAGTGGACAGCACAGTTTTATTGCCCACAGACTAGCAAATTCCCAGGCAGAGGAGCTCCACAAGTCACCAGCCCGGCTGTTTTGGCCAGCATGGCTGTGCCGGCCGGCGCCGCTGCTTTGCCCCGTGCGGCTGCTTTGTCAGCGCCCGGCGCAGCAGTTCTCCGTACAAAATACAC